TGTCGATTTTTCGGTCGCATCTAAATTCACTTTCTTAAACGCGCCAAAAGAAGTATAACTYCAAAAAAAGAAACTAATGTGCATACTTATGTACGCACGTAAGAAGTTATACTTCTTTAGCACGTACCAAAACGAATATAACCTCAAAAATAACTTCAATTTTCCCGCGCATCGTGTAAATATCGACAACTTCGTGGGTGTCGATTTTTCAGTCGCATCTAACTTCACTTTTCAAAACACGCCAAAAGAAGTATAACTTCAAAAAAGAAAAAAATATACTAACTCGTTCGTACAATGCAATGATACTGTAATTAACAGTTACTCGTTGTTTTTTTTTCTTTTTTTCTTTTTCATTTTCTTTTTCATTTTCTTTTTCATTTTCTTTTTCATTTATTTCTTTCTTCTCATGGGGGTTCACACGCGTTAAATGAATTTCATTTAAAAGTTACCTACCTAAGCAGTAGTTTACCACTCGATAAAACGATAAAAGAAAAAAAGAAGAAGAAAAAGAAAAAGAACAAGAAAAAGAAGTAGAATTAGTAAAAGTAGTATAGAGGGATGTATATATTCTTCTTCCATAGCCTTTTCAACTATCATGAAACGAGCATGTTTCGAGAGGAGGCTTAACACATCGTCGAGGACGACGCATTGTCTCCTCCTCGTTGTCTTCGTCTCTTTTCAAGTTCTTCTTCTTCTTCTTCTTCTTCACGAGAAAGAGAAAGAGAGAGAGAGAGAAAGAGAGAGAGAGAGAGAGAGAGAGAGAGAGAGAGAGAGAGAGAGAGAGAGAGAACGAAGAACCAAGCATCTGGTGTATCTCTCTCTATGTGTGTGTGTGTCTGTGTATGATGTCCGTATGTCTATATGTGTGGTTTTAGATGTAAAATGAAGAAGACATATACGTATGTGTATGAGTGTGTGTTTCTGTTCGTGTGGTTTTAGATGTGGATTGAACAAGACATATATACATTTGTGTGTGTGTGTGTGTGTATAAGTGGATGAGAATATTGGTGAAGGGCAAGCAAGGGAAGGCCGATCTCTAGAGGATCCTTCGAACGACTCTCGGCACGTTTCACGTTCACCACGTAATCCAGATCTTCTACCTCAAAAGCTTCTTCTCTTTTCTTCTCTTCTCTTTACTCTTTATTCTCCTTCTCTCTCCCTCTGTCTGTCTGTCTGTCTGTCTGTTTGTCTGTCTGTCTGTCTGACTTATTTCTTCCTTCCTTCCTTCCTTTTACATTGCACTCGTCTTTTCCTGGTGAACGAACGAACCCCCTTTTCCCTTACCTTTCCCCCCCCCCATCATCGTGAAAAATTCCTCGACCCAACTAATATCTCTAGTTTTTGATTCGGCCTTCGAAAAGCTGTATGTGTGTGTGTGTGTGTATTCCATTGTGTTAGTCTTAAATTCTTTCTCGCTCTCTCTCTCTCTCTGCTCCCTTCTTTCCCCCCTTTCGTCTATTCTTTCTATAACGTCATGTAACTTTAAAGTTATTATGAACGAGATTCAAGAATGTCGGTTATATATTTTATCGTATAAGTTAGAAAATAACTTTGACATATTTGTTTAATATCGTTCTTATTTTTTTTCCCCCCTCCTTCCTCCATCGATTGTAATATTCTATTGAATTTTGTGTCTTTATATATATAAAATCAACGAGCACGTTAAAATATTTAAATAAAATAGAAAAAATAAAGAAAAGAAAAAGTAAAGAATAACCAATTGATTCCGTATCATGTGCAAGGATTTTTCAAATGGTCACAATAATTTTGATTATTCGATAAAAAAGAAAAAAAAAAAAAAGAAAAAGAGAAGGTTTTATTAAGAACCAACCACCGAATTGATGATTTTATTATTTACTGTATTATATTAGACGAATAAAAGTTCTTTAGATAGAATGTCATTTATATAACAGGGCTTCGAAAGGTATATCCCTATTACTTCACATTTACAACGTTCACGAAAGGCCGATGGGTCGGCGAGAAAATCCTGGAGGTCTTTGCGAGGGAATTCCGTGCCCATCCTGCTGAGGAATACGAGAGATGTATTCGTGCTGGTACGCTCACCGTCAATTACCAAAGGGTGGACGTGGATTATAGATTGCGACATAATGACCTTCTGGCTAACGTCGTTCATAGGTAAGAGAAAAAAACAACAAAAAGAAAGAAAAAAAAAAAAAAGAAAAAAAAATAACCCCTTACAATATTTTACAGCAGCGTTTAGGTTAACTTTTTGCTAGGAACCGAGCAAACGAAATGAGCTAACTTGAAACTAACGGTGGGAATCCTTTGTAATATTTCTCTTTTCTTCTATTTTCTATTCTGTTCTATTCTATTCTGTTCTGTTCTGTTCTCTTCAAGAATCTTATGAAAAGTCAACGTAACCGAACAACCTGAAATTTTCTGTCAACTATTTAATGAAACATCATCATCATCATCATCATCATGGCAATTCATATTACCTACCAACCATCTTGATCTCTCGAGGCTTGTGTGCACATATAACACACGAGTCTAAAGTCGGATCGATAACCTTGTAGATCCTTCTACTCTCTGAAGGAACCACGTTCGGTATTACGTGGAGTATCCTTGGCACGAATACTACCCAAGTTAACGCACACGTTTAGTGTTTGATATTCTCCTCCTATATATAATATCTATCTATGTATACATATCTACATATGTATATATGTAAGATATATGTATATATGTTGTATAGGATGGTTCCAAAGTTACTAGACCATTTTAAAAATAGAATATATAAGAAATCTTTTTTGAATTTATTACACATATTTTTTTATTTATATTATTTGATCGAACAAATAAATATAAGCATCTTGAAAAAAGAAATTTTTAATTACTTTTCTAAATGATATTCTCTTTTCAAATGGCAATCATATTTTTTTTCTCCACGGTGGTTGACTTCTTCTTCCATTACCTATCGTAATAGTCTAGTGACTTTTAGCCCACCCTGTATAATATGTACACGTTATATCAACTCACTTCCATCGGATTTCTACTCAAACAAGTTACCTGCTATCATTTTCTATGCACGATGAAATCAGTCTCTCTCTCTATCTCTCTCTCTCTCTCTCTCTTTTTCTCTTATTCAAATATTTCTTGTTCTTCTTCTTCTTCTTCATCATCCTTTCCCTTCGTTTTCTTCTTTGGATAAGATAAAAATGTCATTAAAATACACCGATGTTTTCGCAACGAATTATTTCCATCTTTTTTGGGGCCAGTTTATATATGGCCTTTCCTTTCCATTTTTATCCTCGTATTTTATTATTATTATTATTATTATACTTATTATTATTTCTACATCTTGTTTAACGATCAACGTTTAAATATCATACATTTATCTTTATTTACTAGTTATTTCTAAATCACACAGTTTGACTTTAACATAGTCACGATTAATTCGATGATTATTATTATTATCGATTATCTTTTCAATCATTGTTATAAAATTTATTAAAAAACAAACGTTTATATATTATTACAATCGAAAAAGATCGAATCTTTAATAATCGCGTGTGAACGATTTAATATCGATTATTAATATCTCGATTGGAAAGTAAAAAGATTACCCGTTACTCACAGAGAAAGAAACACGCAAACAAATACTACAGACACGCGCGTGCGGAAAAAAAATCTGAGAGGGGAGGAAAAAAAGAAAAGAAAAGAAAAAAAAAATTTCAATAACCTTGAACGAGGATTAAAATTAAATTCCGCGTGAAAGAAAAAAGACCAACCGGTGGTTAGTGATATTATTTTGTGTCAAATAGTGAAAGTGTTACGTCTAAAAGAATTCGCATGAAATATTAATGCGAATGTGGTAGATGATTTAAGTAGAGAATAAAATAAAATCAAATAAAGAAAAAGAAAAAGAAAAAGGTAACAGTCGTGTGAAATGTTATGAAGAATCTCATACGATTGGGCGAAGACGAAATAGAAAGGCATCATGAGTGCTTGTTGAAGAGAAGAGTAGAAGGCCTTCGAGAGAAAGGCTTTGAAATACTGGAAAGGCAGGTGTACGTTCTCGAAGGACGCATCTGGTTAGGGTTGCGTAATAATTTCTAAGTAGTAACACAGTGTGACGTATTATGTCTCATTCTATTCGAACAGACAATTTGTAAGAGAGAGAGAGAGAGAGAGTGTATGCGTCTGTGTGTGTATATACTTGGATGTGATACACATAAGATGATCATCATCATCATCATCATCATCAGCAACAGCAACAGCCAAGAAATCAAGCAGTCGATATAGCTAACACTCGGTTATTTGATTGGTTGGTTGGATGATTCGTTGATTACTTGGTTGGCTGGTTCGTTGGGTTTTCTTTTTAATTCAGTAATTTCCTTGAACGACCTTTCGTGCTAGGTCATCGTCTGAATTTGCATCGAATTGCTGCTTCTGCTATTGCTGTTGCTGTTGCTATTTCATCTATACGCAATTATTCGTGTTTCCTCTCCAATCGGTTGGGAGATTGTCACTTTATTACTGCAATCCACAATCCACAAATACGCGGCCTGGATAAAATCGATACTTTGTTGTTGCATTGACATTTAACCGGTATTTCGGGTTTTTTTTATTCTTTTTTTGCTTTTTTTTTTTTAATTCTACGATTTCGACGTCTCTTTTATTTTCAATAATTTTTTTACGAATAGAACAACGCGTTTCGATTTAATTAAACCAAAAAATATTGCACAAACACTTTTGCAGAATTTTATATATATATATATATGTTATTGGTGGAATGGGGACATGTTAATACAAATTTTCTATAATTTCGATGTTCTTCCTTTTTTTTCTATTTAAATCACGCGTCTGTTAATATACAAAAGTAAAGAAAAGTTTATCGATAAATCCGTACAATAATTTCAAATATCGCGTGGAAATAAAAGTTTACGCGACAAATGGGAAGGAAACAAGGGAGGGAAAAAATTCGTTTGAGGGTGGGTGGGATCGGGATCGATCGATGATAGGAAAAAAAAAAAGAAAAGAGGTGGCGAACGAAAACAAAAAAAAAACAGCCCACATTCGACAAAAGCAAATCGTTTAAAATTCAAACCAGACAAATCGATGCGACTTTTCATCTATCATTCTCTTTTTAAAAACACCGGTTTGTCATTTGGTGCAAACTTTACCAACGAGTAAAAGAGAGAGAGAGAAAGACAAAAAGAAAGAAAATAAATGAGAAAGAAAGAGAGAGAGAGAGAGCAACGTATATTCAAACAGATGAGAAGGTTTATCTGGGCGTTTGTTTTGGAAGTTGGGAATACTTGTTGCTGAAATTGACGTGCTATCGGTGACAATGTTTTGGGTGGTTTGGCGAGAATGTCCGTGCCAAGAAAGGATGGGGTTCTTGGCGTGTTACTTCCTACCAGAGAAATCACTGTGAAAAGTGAACTTGTTGCGGATTGCCTTCCTGGCATCGTAATTCGGAAACGTCTACTATTATTCTTCCTCTTCCTCCTCATTCCACCTCTTCCTTCTCCTTATTCCTCCTCGAGAAAAAATAATGCTGGTTAAACTGATTTTTTATACCCATTTGAATCTTAACTCTCTCTATTCTTTCATTTTTTCTTTTTCTTGTATCGAAAGTCTCCTTGAATGTGTTCAAGAAGATAAACTTTTTTCTTTATTCCGTCAACGAAACACGTTTTAAAATAGTTACAAATTCTCCCTTTAAAAAAAAAGAATAGATGGAACACTATGGTATTACAAATAATTATTTTGATCACATTTGTGAAGGTACACGAAGAATTTTGAAAGAAAAAATAAAAAATAAGAAAAGGAATAATATTATTAAAAATAAGAATTTCTCAAAAAAAAAAACGTAAGAATAATTAAGAGAGAGATTAAAAATAGTCACAAATTCTTCCTTTAAAAAAAAAAGAATAAATGTAACACTATGGTATTACAAATAATTATTCTGATCACATTTGTGAAGGTACACGACGAAAAATTTTGAAAAAAGAAAAAAATGATATTATTAAAAATAAGAATTTCTCAAAAAAAAACGTAAGAATAATTAAGAAAGAGATTAAAAATAGTCACAAATTCTTCCTTTAAAAAAAAAAAGAATAAATGTAATACTATGGTATTACAAATAATTATTCTGATCACATTTGTGAAGGTACACGACGAAAAATTTTGAAAAAAAAAGAAATGATATTAAAAATAAGAATTTTTCAAAAAGAACGTAAAAATAATGAAGAGAAATATATTGTTAAAGAATATAATATCGCGTGTTAAATTAATTCGAACATCTCTAAATATGTTGATATTATAGTAACAGTGTTATCTACCATTTACCACATAGTTTCGTTACTTCTCCCTTGGCAACAACTAGTTCGTTACTGGTATACTCTTGTTTGTCTTATTGCACCTAAAATTGACTTAACTTAGTCAAGATTCTCAGTAGTGCAAAGTAAACATAAACAGTACCGAGGAAACTCCTAGATCCCTGTTAGGGACCAATTACAAACAATTTATTTCGATAAACATTCGACACGTCCGATTATTACCATAATTCTCTTATTTTTACTCATTACATTTATCGATCTGATATAATTAGCGAAACTTTAATTTTTTTTTCTTTCTCTCTAAAAAAAATAAAAGTAAGGGTGAGAAGAGAAACCTCGATGGAACATTTATTTTCTCTTGTATATATAAAATATCTTTTTTATTTTTATTTTTTTTTTTTTTTTTTTTTTTTTTTTTTTTTTTTTCAAAATATTCCCTCGTCCCTTTTTTCTAACGCTTTGAAACGAACGAATAAACGGTGCATCGTATTTTCCATTTTTTCTTCTTTCTTTCTTTCTTTTTTTTTTTTTCGATACCTATCGACACAGTTCTACTTTACGCGAATATTCAAGGAAAAAAAAAAAGAAAAGAAATAATGACTATACCGATCGTATATATCGATACACATACACACACATATATACACATATATATATTTATTTATATATATATATATCCTAACAGAAATTGCTAGTCTATAAAGTAAAACTAAAACTAAAGATATCGAAGAAAGCCTCCTCCATTCGAAATAAAAGTAACCATTTCTCTTTCAAAACGTTCCCTATTTGTTGTTTCTTATACTTTTACTCCACAATATCTACAAATTTATATATCTACCTTATGTATTATAGAAAATTGAAAAGACTTTTTTGAAATACACATGAGATCAGAAACGTACCAACAGTTTCATACGAACAATATTTCTCTATTATACAAAATTCACATATACTATCAGCCAAAAGTAGTTTCAGAATTATTTGTAAATATTCTTACCAACCAAAAAAAAAAAAAAAAAACAAATCTAACATAAACAATCAATATATAACAATACATCAATACAAGAATATATTGATATCATTCATTTCTTTTCTCTTACAAATATCTTATTTCTCTCTGTAATGTGTTTTTTAACTTTTAAACTATAATATATATACATAATAAACATAAATAAGCGTTTATCACGGAGAATTAACGATCTTTCAAGTTTTCTTAATAGTTTTGCATTTTGCGAATCTAAGACCAAGTCAACTAATCATGTTCTTAAATGGAACCTTATCTGCTAGTCACAGAGTAGCACAGTAGTAAATGGTACGTCCGGGTGGGTTAGTTGGTTGGTTGGTTGGGTAGGTGGGTGGGTGGTTGCCAATGAGGTGGATAAGGTGGGTTGGTTGGTTGGTTGGTTGGTAGGTAGGTTAAGTTGGTAATGGCAAATAGGGTAAAATGGAAGTATGTGTAAAGGGTGCTGGTTGGCAAAGTGTGTCGCGGTTTGCAGGGACGACGAAAAGAAAGCGGTGACAGGTTGATTTATTAGCTCGGATCGAGTACACGATGATATCGGAAGGAGGTCAAAGGTTGGCCGCTCACCTTTTCCCTTCAGTTATATTCCTACCTTTACTTGGCCAACGAAGGTAAACGTTAGTCAGCCACTATACTTGCCTACTACCTACCTACTTACTTCTTAGTTTGCTATAACGTCATTGAACGGAACGTGTTTGATATTTGATCGAGTCTTAGATCATCCCATCATCCCTCTACGATTTATCTTCACGCTATTCTTTGCATATATTGCAACACACACACACACACATTTTTTCTGAAAAAAAAATCATCGAGACATTTGTTTTAAAAAGCTACAAATGCTAAAACATATTCCTAATGAATTTCGTAATATCCAACCAAGTTTGTAATATCTTCCAATTCTTGTATTATTCTATTTGAATTTTTCATGAGGAATCCTTACTACTCCTCCTCCTCCTTTCATCAGTTTCCTTATGTATATTGAAACCAAATATATTATGCATCGAATTATGAATCAAGAATCATCGAATAATTCGATTCGATTCACATTTATTTCTACAAAAGTTGTTCTTTTTTTTTCCTGTTTTTGTTACATTATTTCAAATATATTTTTTCTAATGACATCTGAGGGGAGAGAGAGGGGAGGGGGAAAGTCTTCCACAAAAGTTACGAAAACTTTTTACAACGATTTGATTTGATTGATCAATCGATTCTTATAAAACCGTTTAACGGGCTGAGATACTCAAGCAAAGATTGCGAAATAAAGTTAAAAGATTAAATTACTTTTACGAAATGAAAAAGAAGAAGAAGAAGGAGAGAAAATACTCCTCGAGCACCACTTTTCTTTCTTTGTTAAAAAGAAAGTTAATAAGTCAAACTACCTGTTTAAAAAAAAAAAAAAAAAAAAAAAAAAAAAATGAGAACTTACGTTGATAGTAGAAATAGAAGTACAAAAGTCTCATCGATAATTCTTCCTTTACTAATTTAGTTGAAAGATTTTAACGTTTATAAATCTTCACTCTATCTATCTCTTTAATTCTGTTTCTTAACCGTGAGAGTAAATTTATGGAAACGATATTCGAACTGAACTACTTGAAAGCGTGAGAAACTGTCGGCAATTGTTACGTTTACGCAATGAGTTAACGAAGGTTTCGAAACTAAAGTGGAATCTCTTCGAAGGTAAGCCCGAGTACACCCGAATTGAGAATCGGTTACTCATTAATTGTACCGTATTTTCGAGTAATTTTCTAGAGTTGAGAGAGTGGAATATATTATAGATGTAAGGAAAACGACTACTAACACAAACACACCAACACCCACATACACATTAATTTACTCATACAATTACCTTCTTCTCATATCCTCTATCGAAGTATTATAGGGTGAATGTGGTGGGTTTAATGCGAGCGTGGGTGTTCGCAATTTGACGTAAAGGCTATCAGACCTATCCTAAAGCTGAACGAACCCCCCCCCCTTCTCCCCTTCCCCTTAGCCAAGTTACACAGTTCTTAGGACGAGCGTACTTTAATTGGACCTCGAAGGAAACCATTCCTTGCACGACATTTTTCAAATCACTGGTCTAGGGTAGAAAATGATTTATCTTAATATAAATCGGTATATGTCGTGGCTCACCCATTAATGTAAATATCAAAAAAGAAACAAAATTAACACATTGCCGGCCGACGTGGTTTTTTCTTTTCTTTTCTTTTGTTTTTTTTTTTTCTTTTTTTCTTCTCCCTCGCGCATACGTCCTAGATTATATTATTTATAACTTTATATCGCATAGAATAATAATTTCAAATGTAAAATATATTAATGATGTTAATAATAATAATAATAATAATAGTAAGAAGAAGAAAATATTACAATAGAGTAAATAGAAAGAATTATAACGCGTATTATTTATCGATCGATTCTATTTTTAAATATTTTAATAACTTTTAAGACAACGTTGCTAATAGTTAATTAAAAGAAAAAAGAATTTCAAATGACGTAGGATTACGAGATTATTACCGGTTTCGAATGTGTTAATACTCGTATATAAAATGAAGGGAGAAAAGAGAGGGTAAAGGGGTGGAACTTAATAATGAAAGACTATAAAGTGTGGGTGCATTTCGACTTGGTATAATTGAAGTTGCAAATGCGTTGCAGGTGTTTCGAAAATATTAACCGTTCAAATTGTTCGAACATTTTGGGAACTGTACTTCGAGAGAGGTAGGTGGAACTCAACAGAAACACAAAATAGAGAAAAGAAAGAATAGAAAAGAGAAAGAGAGAGAAAGAGAAACAAAAAATAAAGAAAAAGGGTTCAAACGGGAACATCGACTAGCAATTTGAAACAATGGAACACGTTGTTCATGTCGGTTTACAATGGGCGTTCGAAATTCTTCTCTTTCTGCATGAACGCCAATTTCAATTTTTCTGATTAATGATCGTAGCAACCTTTCGTACACTTCTGACCTATTACCATAAGTGTACGACTACGACTATGATGATAATGATAATGATTATGATGATGATGAGAAAGAGAGAATAAATACGTTCCCCGTAATGCATTCTTTTACTTTCTATCACACTTATCTCGATTCATGTGTAAATCGATTGGATAGAAAGCCTAAACTATTGCTGCTGTTACTATTACTACTACTACTACTACTACTACTATTACTGCTGCTGCTACTGTTGCTAATATAATTCTAAAGCAAAATTAATCAAACAGTACAAAATAATAATTAAAAGGACTAAACAAATTGTACGTGTATAATATCATTGTTTGATAGATGAAAACTTTGAGACTTGTTCCAACATGGAATTATGTCATCAATGTAAGTGTGTAAGTGTGCGTGCGTGTGAATGTGAGTACGTGTGCGTGTGTGTATGCGTACGATTAACGTACGAAAGTGTTAATATAAGGAACAAAGCCATGTTAAGCTGGTTGCGATTGGTGTGTTGCAGACACGAGGTGCCTGTCACCTCGGAGCCGATCACGGTGATACACATGGACGAGGACGTCGTCGTGGTCAACAAGCCCGCCTCCATCCCTGTAAGTGGTGTACTGCCAGGACTGTACTGCCAAAACTGTCTGTTGCTTTCTCACTCACTCACTCACTCATTCTTTTTATTTCTATTTGTGTCTGATGTCTTCTACTCCTATTACATTGACCATATTATTTTCTTATCCAAACACATACTATCACAATATAGACATAGTACATGAATAATGCTATGATATATCATACAACAATTATCTGTGGTATATTCGAGGATATTAACTTAACCACATATCCTTGTTTCCTCTTAGGAACACTTACTGCTTTGCTCGTGGTAAGCCAGTTAAATGTACTTTGCTAGCTGACAAACTAACTTTCACTGTACAAGTCCCCAAACGATCCCAAATACAACTCCTCGTCAAACTGTCAGTAGTCCCACCCTTCTTTTTCCTTTTTCTTTATTTCTTTCTTCTCGTTTTTCGCTTTTTATTTGCTACCACCACCACCACCCCACAACATCATTCTGTGTTTCCCTTTTTTCTACTCTGTAATTTGTTCAACCACCTGCCTTACTACTGGTTTATGGGATTAAAGATCAAAGTACACACGATTGTTAGATACTTTCAGTTTCTTTTTTTTTCTTTTTCTTTTTTTGTAGGTTTGATCATACCATTTATCGGATAATTTCAAAATGTATATTACAATTAACGTTTTAATAATTATTAATCAACTATTTGAAATATCTCGTTGGAAATATAATATGTTGCCACTCGACACGATTTATTATTTATTTAACGTTACAAACAATTTTGAATGATTGCAAATTTGTACGGGAAAACATTCAATAAATGGTTATAGGATCAATTTAATCTTTGTTCAAATTTCATTCCAAACTTTAGAAGTGTCTTTTCTATCACTGTAGCCGTAAACTCGTTCAATTCATCTGATTAATGATACAAGTTTAACAGATTTCGGTTTAATGCAAGTTAAGTTATTCCGTAAGATTTTCTACCATGATAATGGGGTGGGAAGGGAGTGAGGGTGGAGGGCTAGACACATTCTCGTTTTCGCGATTCATTCCGAGAACGAATGAACAAACTAACGACGAAGACAACAACAACAAAATAAAAGAAAAGAGAGAGAAAGAGAAAGAAAAAAAATCATCGAACAACTCAGGGTGCAAACAACAAAACCCCATCGCAATTTCGTTCCCCCTTTCTCTCTCTCTTATCCGATTCGTTTTTATTTGCCACACGATGCAGTGGATTTCGGTGCGACTACCAACATTCACCAACACCACTACTAACATTACTATTACTACAAACCATTAGGATTACGTACACCTATATTTTATTTTCCGGGTAGAGATCCAAGTTAAACAGTGGTCAAGAAGAGGAGGAGGAGGGGGGAGGGGGAGGAGAGCATCGTGGTGAACAGAGAAACCAACCGGGGTTTCCCCAACTGAAAACATACTGACACGTTTTATTAAATCGTTACTATACCACCCATTTTCACAGAATGAAAACTTATTGTTGTCCTACCGACAAATTTCATTAATCGTCCGGCAACACACACACACACACATATACATGTAATACACGTATATGCATACAAATGCTATCTCATCAAGTAGAATTGCTGTTCAATCTACACGTTGGGGCTAACGTTTGTCAACAATGTAATAGGTGTATGCGTTTATGCGTAATTCTGTATTAGCAAAAGAGATATAAGAGAGAAAGAGAGAGAGAGAGAGAGAAGCAAAAAGAGTCATAGCCGTGGAAAATAGCACTCCCTTGCTAACGTACCATTGTCTTTAATTTCGATCGTTAGTATGAGTCGTATTTAACTTTGACGACTAATTAGAGCGAACCGATTTTACATAATCCCTTGTGGGAGCTGCTTACGTTGCATGCGACATTAAAATGTCTCTCTCTCTCTCTCTCTCTCTCTCTGTCTCTTTCTTTCTCTTTCTCTTTCTCTTTCTCTTTTTCTCTTATTCTCTCACACACATATCTTTTTAACGATCCTATCTATCTTCCCTTTTCCATTTTGCAAGTTACGCGTGTATGTGTTAATGCACGTTCATTCAGAACCTGTATGCATAATATTAATAATAATAATAATAATCATATGTAAGAGAAAAGTGATATCCTTATTGTTACATGACTATCAAGTCTCATATCTCAATTTCTTTTTTTTTTTTTGATAATTAATTATTATTTTACGTAATATATTCGAACGCATCAAAATAATAGAATTGGCAGTGAAACGTTTAACGATCATTTTTTATTTCATTTTTTCTCTCTCTCTCTTTCTCTTTGTCTTTTACATTTCATTGGAATTTTCATTACTCATTTATATATTTATACAATTACGATTTCATATTTTAACGATGATTACTATGTCATTTTGTTAATTGGTAGATTTAAAATATATTTAATGTAATTAATGAATAAGAGAAAATGTTTTAATTTAAATCAGGATTAATAAATAATATCGAATAGTTTTATCTCATCAACGCGAAAATATAATAATATAATGATTGATTTATATGCATTTTTGTTTTTCCTTTTCTTTTTTCTTTTTATAAGGATGTAGTCGAAAAAGAAATAAAGAAATTGGTCATTCAAAGAAAAATTCACAATTACTTACGGAATCGAATCTTATGCAACTTCGTAACAAGTACCTCTTTACAGTTAGAGGTCTCCGTATAAGATGAGAGTACTACTCGATGTAAAATTAGGCCGCGATTCTCTAGTTTGGTATTGTTCGAAGTAAGAAATCGTTATTGTACATCTTGAGAGAGAAAGAGGGAGAGAGAAACACATTTTTCTATTTTCCCCCTAATTTGTCAAAGTGCCGGAACAGAGGTTGCTATAATTGGATCGTTTATTACGAAAGTAATGGTGTGCAAGTTTAGTTTTGAAAAAAAAAAAGAAAACAATTAATAACAACACATAATTTTTGTATTAATTTATAAATAAAATATCAAACACATTACGTGTTTTCTTTATTAATTTTCGTTTAAATATATCTACGATCAATATAAAATATGATTGTAATTAATATTATTCATTTAAATTATTTCAAATTAATCGAATATATATTATTCATCAATATTAATCGTCGGTTGTCACTATTATTTCTCTTACGTATGATTTTAATAATTTAAACAGGTCTAACAGCTGGTCTATTAAATGATCATTGATCATTTCTCGATCGGATCTGAAACACTCGATTAGTAATTCTTACGTTACGTAACTCCACGAGAACGTTATTACGATTGGAAAACAATAACAACGTGATCATCGTATTTATCCTATCATAAAAGATACGCATAAATAATAAATAAAAGAAAATATTAGATCGATAGATAAATACAAAAACATATTTCTTTGTATTTTCCCGATAAATCAATTTAAAATCACATAAATCTAATAATATTAATTACTTTTGTCCAATATTCGATAAATACGAGGAACATAAAGTTCTAAACATTCGATATATTTGGAAATTTAATAACAAAAAAAAGAAAAAAGATAAAAAATGTGATGGAATAAAAAAACTGAAGAGTTTTAATATTAATTTTGAATTAAAATATGAAATAACTTTTTATCACGGGGTTAATAAAATAAAATAAAATACAAAACCCAAAGAAAGAAAGAAAGAAAGAATCGTAAAGACGTACTCTAACGGAAGCTGCCATTTGTTTTCGTTCGAGAGGACAGCACGTTTATTCCCTTGCGGCATGGTGCAGCAGGTGCAGGTGCAGTGCGCGCGGTGCAGGTGCATTGTCGCGTGGACTGCTGTATATTCACGTGTAATATATGTTGCGTTGTGTTGTATGTATGTATGTATGTGTGTAAATGTATTTACGTAAATACATTTGAAGTGCGGAATCGACCGGCCTTTGTCGAGGCGATTGCTTTTTCCTCGAATAGCCAAGAAAAATGGGGTCGTTGAGGGGTGAGAAGAATGGTAGTGGTGGTGGTGGTGGTGGTGGTGGTGGTGGGGGTCCTTCTAAACCAAAATTGTACCTTTTTCTAAATTTTAACAACTTCGTTCTTTGCCTACTAATACAGGTTCATCCATGTGGACGTTATAGACACAACACTGTCGTCTTCATTTTGGCTAAAGAGTACAACTTGAAGAATCTTAGGACGATCCACAGGCTGGACAGATTGACAAGCGGAATATTACTTTTTGGTAGGACACCTAAAAAAGCAAGACAAATGGAACACCAGATTAGAAACAGACAGGTTTGTAATTGGATGTTATTTGTTGCTTAATCGTGACATAATTTAAAATACGATATAAACTTGTGTTTGTGTATGTGTTTGATTATTATTCGATAGAAAATTAATCCAATGGATAAAAAGTAAAGAAAAACTATATAGGAATTTATATTTTATTATTATATTTATTTATTTATTTATTCGATACGAAATCCTGACCTATTTTCTTTTCGTAATACCTTAGGTGCACAAGCAATACGTGTGTCGAGTCGAAGGTGAATTTCCAGAAGAAGAAGTGGTCTGTTCCGAACCGATCGAGGTCGTGTCTTATAAAATAGGTGTTTGCAAGGTATCGGAAAAGGGCAAGGACTGTATAACGCGTTTCAAACGTTTGAGTTACAATGGAAAATCTTCGGTCGTACTTTGCAAACCGCAGACTGGTCGGATGCATCAAATACGTGTACACCTGCAATATCTTGGTTATCCAGTTGTTAACGATCCTCTTTACAATCACGTCGTGTTTGGACCACACAAGGGAAAGGGTGGTAACATCGGTAAGACAGATGAAGAATTGGTCAGGGATTTAATTAGCATACACAATGCTGAAAATTGGCTTGGTATGGACGGAGATTCGGATATGAGTATGTTCAAGTCGAAACTCGACATTGAGGAACGTGATCTGGCTAACATTGATAAGAACGCTAACTCCTCACCGGAGGAATCATCTTCCACGGCTACATTGTCGGAGGAGGAACGACCACCACCCCAACAAGAACTTAAATCACTCAAAGTGACGGTTGGAACACAGACCGGTTCTGAACCACCCGATCAAAGGTACATCATTCTTTCTTATTTTTTATATATATATATATATATATATATATATATATATATATATTCATTAAAAAATATACTTAGAGTAACCTTCAAACTCTTATTTATTAATAACGTAATTTAATGAAATTTTATTCACAAATGAATCATTGTATATTTAAAAGCGTTAATATTATTCCTATATTTGAGCCGTTTATTTTGAAAGTGGCATAAGTCACTTTTTCAAAAAAAAACCGAGTTAATGGCAACACTAATTACAACTGAACGGTATCTTTTCATTTTCAATTAAAAAAAAAAAAAAAGAAAAAAGTGATTTAAGCCACTTTCAAAATAAACAGCTCATTTGTTGATTGTATTCATTTCTATTTATCTTTTTGTAAATTTCCCTAGTTTCGCTAACGACAAAGTTACCGTGGATCCACACTGTTACGAATGCAAAGTCAAGTACAGAGATCCTAAACCATCGGATTTGGTGATGTACCTGCACGCGTGGCGTTATTGCGGACCAGGATGGGAATACGAGACGCCACTTCCTGCGTGGGCAGCAAGCGATTGGACGGCCGATGATCGATAGTTTTAACAAAGATTATGGGAATTCGCGAGTTTCTATCCTGCGATTTATAATAATAATAATAATAATAATAATAAGAATAATAATAATCGACCAATGATTCCCGATGAACAAACGAATGAAAAAAGCAAACAAACAAACAAAGGAACGAACGATCATCGTGACGACCCTTTCAAACAATTTTTTTGATATCCTTAACCCCGTGCCTTCCATCCGCTATAATGAGCGATCATCATCGTGACCATCGTACGTGCTACGTCACTTTGTTGTCCGGAAAGTAACGAGACTATTTTGCTGCAATATATATTCGATATAATATTTATCGATTATAAAAAAGGAAAATAAAGAAAAATCACGCCATTTTTCACTCCTCGACGGTCCAAAAGAATGAAGAGAGAATTTTTTAAAAAATAAAAAAGTAATATTCAAAATTATTTCGCGAACAAATAATTTTTGAAAACAAATGAAAAGAAGAAGAAGAAGAAAAAAACAACAACAACGACGACGACGGATGTTTGTCGTTTTAATTTTTTCTATCTTTGCAAAATATTATTAATTAATTATAGCTTTCTTATTAGCTCGACAAATTTTGTCAAAATACATTTTACGTAATGAATGCTTGTTAGCTGGCAGAAGGTTATATAAGAAGATTTAAAAAAAAAAGAAAAAAGGAAAAAAAAAAAAGATAAGAAAAAATGAAGACACACAAAGATGGGGGGACGGCGAAATTTTGAAACGACTCACTTTCTTTGCTTGTCGTAAGAAAAATTAAATAAAAATAAAAAAACTATACGATCAGAGTAATATATATATATAATATATATAATATATAAGACAATCGATTAGTTGAACTGTCGAGAAATGATAGATGAGGTCGTATTGACGGGAATGTTTGAATCGCGATTACGTAGAGGAACACATCACGGTCTCGTTATTCTCTGAATAATTTTTTGGTACATAGAGAAAAAGAATAAAAAAAATAAGAAAAAATCCCCCTTTGTAACACGTTGTTGTACACGTCGTGTTCGCGAGAGAAAGAATGAGAGAGAAAATAAAAGAACACAAAAGAGAGAAAGGAAAGGTGGACAATGATCAAGATTAAAATCGTGGATCGTGCTTGAATTACAAATTCGTATTACAGACCACAATCCTTGAACAAAAATGAAACATATTTCATAACTAAAATGTCAGCATGTTAAACGCACAATTATTATTATTATTATTATTATTTTCTGGGTTTTTTTTCTTCTTTTTTTTTTTCTTTCTTACAAATTACGCAAAAAGAGAATGAAAAACCATTTTGTATTTTTATTGGACATTTCGCGAATTGGTTTCAGCCATTTTGTTTCGACGTAAACTTAGGACGATGAAAATAGAGAGAGGAAGCGAACCGAAGAAAATTGTTGTTCTTGGCTTCGATAGATAAAATACACAGAAATCGTTTTGCTTGCTGAGAGAAAGAGAAAAAGAAAGAGAAATAAAAAAAGAAATAGAGAGAGAGAGAGAAAGAGAGAGAGAGAGAGAGAGAGAGAGAAATGTGGCATGAGAGTTTGTTATTCCATAAATTTCATTTAGTAAGACTCTCTTTCTCTCTCTCTCTCTCTCTCTACATATATATTTCATTCTAATAAGAGTTAAAAAAATAAAAGCGAGAAATTCGCAGCCGAGGAAGTTTCGGAGTCACACGACTTCGAATTTTATCCAACGTTTTCGATTCTGATCCATCTTATTTCTCTTTCTCTAACTCTGATGATTTCGAATATTCGCAGGGGGGGTTTTCAAAAAGATATACGCGTTAAAAGAATAAAGAAAGAGAAAGAGAACGAATGAAAGAAAAACTGCTGCGAAAGAGAGAATAGAAAAGAATACAAGACATCTATTTTTATGGCAGATTTATATCCAGGAAAATTAAATAATTAGCGTAGCTCTCAAGCGATAGGGGGTCTCAAACAATAAACGTGATCATGCCAAAGAGCAAGAAGCATCGGCGAGCTTTTAATCATATCGTATACATGTACCTTTCACTTGGCGACTTTGCGCAACAAACAAAAAATTAAAATAAAAGGATACGTTTTGTCGATACACCGAAAAAAAAAAAAAAAGAAAGAAAAAAATATTTGCGAGATTACTTGCGAGTGTCGTCGTTAAAAAATCGTACAACATAATCAACACAAGAGAAAGAGAGAGAAAGAGAGAGAGAGAGAGAGAGAGAGAGAAAATACACAGAAAATTTTTGCAAACAAGTACAAGAAAATTTAAAAAAAAAATAAGGAAAAAATTACATGCAAAAAAATAATAATATATATATATATATAAAATACAAATATAATTATAATTATAATAATAAAATAATATATTAATAATAATAATAATAATAATAATAATAATAAAATAATAATAATTAAAATAATAATAACGTGTGAGAATGAAACGCGTGAGTAACCGTGCTACAATTATTTTATTACGAATCGCGTTCGTTTCATTATCGAGTAAACGTGAATATTTAGGCTTTAGAATACGACTAGGATCTACGAGTTCTGGATCAAAGGATTAATCGTGACAAAAAATTTACTTAAAGGAGTCCTTTGATCTTGTACCAAAATGTGGAGAGTGAAATGTATCGGATATGTTTTTGAAAACGGAGAAGTATATACAAAATAAATAAAAACAGACGCGAATAAATAAAATAAAATAAAATAAAATTAAATAAAATTAAATAAAATAAAAAAAAAATAATAAAAGAAAGAAAGAAAGAAAGGATTGTATAATGAATATGAAGAATGTTAACACGTTAAAATAACAACGGACCTATCATAAAAGACAGTGTGTGCGCTTACTAACTCACAAGGTGCGGCTTGCTGTTAAAGCGAGTTCAACCGAATTTAAAACGATAGCTTATGTTATAAAATTTATTTAAGTAATTGATAATATTAAAAAAATAAAAAATAACAAAAAAAAAAAAATACCGCAAAAAGACAGTCCCGATTGAGCGGCAGCGGCGGCGGCGGCGGCGACACGAAAGAAAACGAAAAAGAAGATAAAAATTAACCCTTTCGTTACGACACATGCCTTGACACGAATATCGTTCCATATAAATTCGTTCGTATGTACGTATCGTCGCATGGTATACGACCCTTAAATGGGTCGGTCGTTCATATGGGACCTTTGCATGGACGTCCTGTATATGGGTCGTTAGTAATAAAAGGGTTAAAGATAAAAATACAAATAAAAAAGACGCCGATGTATGGATATGCGCTTTTATATATATATATATATATGCAATGTATGCAATGTATGTATACAATACATGTATATATATATTGTATACGCACATCGTATCGCATTGATAAATGCGGTAAATGCGGCCCATCATTATTACCTGTACCGTGTAGTCGGCGGAACATTTAGTGTTAGTGAATTTTCTTGTATAATGAACGAATAAATGCAAAAAAAAAAAAAAAAAAACAAGTATCCTTCTATATATGTGTGCATATATATAGAACAATGAAATGTTTTATCTGAACACTTTTGAAAGCTACCTCCCTTAGAAAATAATGAATGAAATAAAACGAGGAATTACATTGGAACGCACGAACCACAGGTGTGTGATGCGAAAGAGCGAGAGAGAGAGAGAAAATTGCGTTTTCCTTCGTTTTTTATTGACCGACCCCGATTTAATATTTAAACGAGGATCAGGAAGAATCTTACATAAGAAACTTCGTACTATCGCGTCTATCTTCTTTTTATATATATGTATGTACACTGAAAAATACAAAATGATAAAGTTTCTAGCCAGCCAACCAGCTCCATCATTTTTACTCCATCCTTTTAATTAATTAATTAGTTCTTTCCTTGCCAATATACAATTGGTTCACCTTTTTTCCTGCTGGTTGCTAAAAATTAACTGATGTTTCTTTCATTGTTTTCTTATTTTCTTTTAAATACTCTCCTGCCACACTACACATTATTAATTACACGATGCGGCCTCTTTCTTCTGTTTGATGCGAGCTTCGATTTCAGGTCTGAAGTGACGAATCAGTCCTTGCACAGGCCACGCAGCACCGTCAGCTAAAGCACAAATTGTGTGCAACTCGATTTGTTTAGTTAATTCCCATAGCATATCAATCTCGTGTTCTTCAGCATTTCCCTCCCTAAACCTAAATTATACGAAAGAATATAGATGCCATAATGTTACTCATAGATTATTGAAACATATGTGAATGAATTCTTCCCAAGACGAACCTCTGTAAAATCTTATACATCCAACTAATACCCTCGCGACAAGGTGTACATTGACCGCAAGATTCGTGTTTGTAAAAGCTAATCAAACGAGTAATAGCTTTGATAATATCAGTTTGTTTGTTCATTACGATGACTGCTGCCGTTCCGAAAGCACTTTGAACTCGAATGAGATCGTCAAAGTCTAATAATACCGTATCGCAGACGCTATAATTGAAAACAAAATGAATAAGATATATTTTAGCTTGTATGATATATGACATACTTTTTTGGAATGACCGGAGTCGAAGATCCTCCAGGTATAACACCTAATAAATTATCCCATCCACCAATCACACCACCTGCATGCCTTTCGATCAATTCTTTCAAAGGAATGGACATCTCTTCCTCAACGGTGCATGGATTATTAACATGACCAGAAATATTGAACAATTTGGTACCATGATTACGCGGTCTTCCAAAGGATGCAAACCAAGCACCACCACGTCGGCAGATTGTCTAAGAGATGGAAGTAATCGAATAATAAAATGATATTATTATTTAAGAAATGAATAAAATTATAGAATAACATACAGGGGCGACTGCAACTGTTTCAACGTTGGTAACTGTGGTTGGACATCCAAAGAGACCGACGTCTGCTGGGAAAGGTGGTTTTAGTCTAGGTTTACCCTGTTTCCCTTCGATAGACTCAATAAGAGCTGTCTCTTCTCCACAGATGTACGCTCCAGCTCCACGTTGTACAAAGATATCAAAATTATAACCAGAACCGCAAGCATTCTTTCCAATCAATCCTGCTTGATAAGCTTCGGCAATAGCAACTTGCATATTAGAAGCTTCGTTATAAAATTCACCACGAATGTAAATATATGCAGCACAAGCACCCATAGCACGACCAGCAATTAAACATCCTTCTACAAGTTTGTGTGGATCATGTCGCAAGATCTCACGGTCCTTGCAAGTTCCTGGTTCACCTTCGTCTCCGTTGATAACTAAATACTTTGGCCTCCCATCAGCCGGTTTGTTCATAAAGGACCATTTCATACCTGAAGGGAAACCAGCACCTCCTCTACCTCTCAATCCAGAGACCTTAATCTCATTGATGATCCAATCGGCTCCTTTATCTAATATTTCCTTAGTCTTAAACCAATCACCCCTCTTTAATGCACCCTTTAATCTCCAATCATGTCTACCATATAAATTGGTGAAAATACGATCTTCATCTGCTAAAGGACCACCGACTTTCTGTTAACGAATAAATTATTCCCAATATTCACAAAACTAAATGACAACACATACATCCTATTATAGGATTAACATATATCCTATTATAGGACAACACATATATCCTATATGAATCTAATAAATAAACTTACTTTGCCCTCGGGAGCAGCATCTGCTAAGGATCTCTGTTGTTGCTGATTAGTTAACGATGATCCCAAGAGGCCTACAAAGTGATTTAAATTGTTTAATTACATAACCTTGTTTAATCGAGAGAAACATAGTGCGTAGAACCTCTAAATCAATGGTAAATCGAAGTATACAACACACAACTTGTGAAATTTATTACGCTTGTTAATTAGAAGTAGTTTGAATGATTCAAAAATTACAATAAAAGATAATAATTACCTAATTGCCTCTTTGGAATCTTAAGACACCGTACTATGGCACCAGCCATCTTGCCATCTGACCATTCCTGTCCAAGTTGACGTCTAACGTTATACTACGTGACTCAAATAAACTACGACATCTGATGAGGAAAGAAATCTTTAAAATAACTTTCAAAATTGATTTGGATATAAATATAAAAATTAGAATTAAAATTAGGAATGAATCATTGATTTAAAATGACCGCGTGTGCATTCAATTAATATTACGAAATATGAAAATGAAACGTGATTTGATGATACTTGCGCGTTGCATTATACTTATGTGTATTATATTAAAATATATCGTACATTTCAAGTGTTATCAAATTATAATTACAATTGTCTAAAATTATTGAACACGAATTAGTAATATTATAAATATAACAAAAATCTGTAAGAAAGAACGAAAAACGACGTTTGCACGACGAAAATCTGACGAGAATTGAAAGAGTTACCTTAATATCAATAATCTATATAGCAAAAGGATAATTTCTAAAAAACAAACAAACACTCGCTGTTCATTGATTATTTTTTTCAAAATAAATATCGAAATGACACTACTAAATGCATTTGAATATCTTTATCATTTTGATTACTTTTCTATCTTGAATTTCGATTTCGATAAGTTTCACAATAAGTTCGATACTATCGAAGTACATGAACGCTACCTAGCAGTAAATTTTGGAACTATTTGTTAATGCCCCTGGCGATAGATTACACGTGCATACAAAATATTATATATATATATATATAAAGTAATATCTAATTATATGTTTTTAAAATATAAACTAAAAGGAATAAAATTGTATATTACTTATTTATAATTATAAATAAAAAGATAAAATAAAGAAATTATGAATCGTTCATCTTTGCAAGGTTGTCTATTAGCTACATCTTTCTCTATTTACATTTTGGATAAAACAAGTAATTAGAAGATAGAGTTTATATCTTATTTTAAAGCGTTAGAAGGATGATTAGGAAACACAAAAAAAGTATAAGATAAACAAAAAACAAAAATTGAAAGATCATAAAAAGAAGGAAAGATCAAGGCGAGGAGATCGCTCACTTAATAATAATAATTATAATAATAATAATAATTAAAAATCATATCTTTTGCAGCAGCGTATATACAATATTTGTGATACGTATGAACTAAACTAAAATAAGTCAGCGTTGTGTTATCGGCTATGTAGATAATATATATATGTATAAAAAAAATTATACTCGCGAGCATCGAAAGAAAAGAGCACGAAAAAAAGAATGAAATGGAAAGAATTACAAATAAAACTAGAAATGAAAAGAGAAAGAGAGAGAGAGAGAGAGAGAGAAAAAGAGAAATAGAAATCGCGTCTTTATCCTTTCGTTACGGCATGCTTCGGCGCGAGTATCGTTTTACATAAATTCGCTCATACATATTTATCGTCGCATGGTATAGGACCCCTATACGGGTTACGCTGGTAACGAAAGGATTAATTTGAAAATAATGACAAAATTCGATCGATGCGCGTCCGAATGTTATTATTGAATTGGGGATGTATTTATGTATGTATGTATGTATGTATGTACGTATGTACGTATATATATAATATGTATGCTTATGTACATGCTATGCCGCGAGCCTGCTCATCGGCCGAAATACTGCACGGTGCTCTGTAACATTAAAAAGAAAGAAAAAACAGAAATAGAATAAATCGCCGCTAAAAAGAAAGACAGAAAGAAAGAAAGAAAGAGAGAGAGAGAGAGATATATATAAAATCCTCGTCGTGTATATTTGCGTGTGTCTGTGTGTTATTGCATTGCCTAAAACGTTTGTTAATCAAACTGATTATCTTATATAAAATTCATCGAACTTCATTTCATCTCGATTAAGGGGTCTAACAATATAAGTAAGAATGACTTATCAAGGCCACTCATTAGAACGTTACACGAGATCTTTAATATTCTCGAGGAGTCATGGATAAACGTAGTCCTATGGTCTACCCATGCCGAGTTTGAGTATTTTATTGATGTCTTAGATATTTTATTATATATGTGGATGCATATATATAAGTTTTTTCTTTTTTTTTTTTTTTTTTTTTAAATTGTTAATAATTACTCTTATCAGCATGGAACCATTGTTGATAATTTGCTAAATAGAAAGGAGAAGCTCGTTCACCATCAATGCATATCTCGACGTTTAAATGCTGACTAGTAGATATTTCGTCGTTCTAGCACATAATCGTTAAAGATTGCGCTATTTTATAGACGAATTAGGTTTAGCGCTGTCAAAAAGTTAACGGACAAGAAAAAATGAGAAAGATTGAGAGAATAGAAAATGAGAGGAAGAACGTGTGAACGTAACAATGAAAAAATAAAAAAGAAAAGAATGATATCAACAGGTGATACAAAAGAAAACACGCACGGAAAGGGGAGAAGAGAACGCGTATGGTGCAACGTTCTTTGAATGCAAACGTTGAAAAAAGAAAATAGAAGAAGAAAAAAAATCTAAATAAAAAGAAAAAAGAAAATATGCACGTGTTATCGTCCATCGACTTTTTTCTTTCGCAATCAAAAGAAGAAAAAAAAAATAGAAAAAGAAAAATAGAAGGGACAAAACGTTCGCATTATTTAATGCAAACGTTTGCTCGAAGGCCCAGGTTTGTTCGATTGATCCCAAACGGTACGACATCTCGTAGATTTTCTCCAATGTGGCAATTGAATTCCCAATCTTTTGCACTCGTGAACGTAAGCCATGAAAGACTCGCAATAGCAGTGCTCGGTCGGGCACTCGCACATATCCTGAAGACATGCTTTGTAGTACATCGTTGGATTGACTTTCTTGTGGCAGGGATCAAAGATCTGCGACCTCAGGCGATTGCACAATCTGTATGTAAGCAGAACGTTACTTAGACGTTTATGTTCGCTAGAATATCATATATATCTATATATATATATAATAGTTTATATAATAAACATTCCGTTTCTAGATAGAATAATCATTTTATTAGATCTTTACCTATGATCCTTCCTCCCCCTGCAACGTCTCTCCCTTTCAGGATTTAAAGTGCGTGTAGGCGTGCACTTCTTCTTAGCACCAACGGCCCAAGATTGGCCGAATGGTTGAGGATCTTGTAAGAGTCTGCCGCGTCTACTCATGAAATCATCTTTCGGTAAGGAATTAAAGTTTCCACATAATCCGCACAATTTACCACGGTACGATGTAGACGCTGAGATCTCAAGAAAACTAATACCATCCCAAAGTACTTTGATACCGATCGGTGTATTAACGATTATGCTGTCGGCCGTTCTGTTAACGTCAAGTTTGTTCGGCACACTGTAAGGTACGTCGACCCTCTTACCATTCACTTTTACCTTCATCTTTTGACCCAGATTCACCTTCAGATCGCCAATCTGTAAGAGGTGAATTAGTAGATAAAAGGAGAAGAAAAATAAATCACTTGTTTTTCTATTACGTAATACATCAAGTATAATACCTTCATGGCAATAGTTTTTGTCCATGCCGAAGATCTCGTCATGCCGGCATCGTTCGTCACGCGTATGCTAAACGTATGTCCGACGCAGTCGCTAGCCAACTGATACTTGCACGCGCCTTTGAAGCTGAAGAATTTGCCGTCGAAGGTGCGGTAATGGGGGTCACCGAAGACAGTGCATACACCATCACCTGATTGAAAAAAAAATACTTTTACACTGTTTCCTTGTTGAACAATTTCATTTTCTCGGCGTTATTCATTTTTAACAAGAATATTTACCTTCAACGCAACGAGGACAACATTGGTCTTTGGGGTGCTCCAATTTTGAATTTGGTGGACATGGTAAATTCAATGATGGACACATCGGCATTGCGCATCGTACCTTACCCTGCATGCAAGCGCATGCCTTACAGGAATCAAGCTTCCAAGTTTCGCCATCCTGCCTAGGTCAAAAATAAACATTTAAACTCGATTGCATTAACGTTAAGATTCTAGTTTTCTTTTTCTTTTTTTTTTTTTTTCGTTTCATTACCCCATAATAGATTAAAGAACATATTTATAGAGATAGAATACTCGCCCCATAAGTTCTGCCACCGTATGTGCAAGAAGCCCGGCTTTCCTCGACCAAAGGACACTGCGGACAACAACGACCTGGTAATGTTATCTGATGCTCCCTTGTGCATTCCAATATCGGACATGTTTCCCTTACGCACGATATCACGGAGTTCGTACAAATGCAACGGGTACATTCATCAAGATAAAATTGTGAACCAGAATTGTGAACTGTCGTACCCAAAATGCAACCACCCTTAGGGGGTGGCAAAAATTCTGTAATACCTGTCGATAATAATAATTTAATTGAACAGTGAAAAAACATAATTATGTTTCAACGATTAATAATCATTGTTTTATTATTATTTTTTTTTAATTTTTTACAAACCTTTGCAGCGAGGACAACAATCCCCGGGATCGTGATAGATTCTCGAAGCTGGACAATGAAGAACAGGACAAGCATGTTTGGAACAATTCAATTTACTCGAATTACATTTACAGGTTACGCAAGGATCCTCGATTGTGGTGAAAGATCTCTCATCGGTTACTTTTTGACCGTTAACGATACATCCTATAAAAAATCATGAAAAAAAAAAAAAAAGAGAAAATGAAGACAGGTTTGAAAAAAAAAATATCTAATATAAATAATTTCTCTATTTGATTTAATCGCGTACCTGGACAAACGGCACAACATTCCCCAGGCAAAACTGGCATTGGTTTCGGACAAGGCGTGTAACATCGTTGCCTAGATTCGGTGATAACCCCAGCTCTGCACATGAAGATCTTGCAAGGGTCATTTCTATCGTTCCACTTTTCGCCGGATTCGTGATAAATTCCGTTTCGAAGGCAGCCTGTAATCGCATCATTTAACGTGTGAATAAAAAAATGAAAAAAAAAAAAGAAGAAGACAAAAACAAAACAAAACAAGAAAAAGGAATAAGAACGACAAGTAATTTGAAATGAAATGTACTTCCTGAGGAATGTTTTAAATCGTGTCAAAGTTGAAAACAAAATGAAATATAACACACAAATTATAATGGGACAAGGAATATTATTATATATGATGGTTTCTCTTGGGTATTTTTCCAGAATTATTATACTCGTGAGTTTTGTCATCTTATTTAGAGAAAGAGAAAGAGAGAGAGAGACGTTCGACAACGGGACTTACGTCACAATTAACATAATTAATAGAGATTGATAAGGGGACGGAGAGCATCTGTCAGGGAGTTTTAGCGTAAACAGTTCCTCGAGTTTATCGCGGTGTCGACGAACAGAAGCGTCTTTGTGCCTTAAAACAATGCTTCCCGTTCCTCCTCTCATTCCCTTCTTCTTATTCTTCTCTCTCTCTTTTTTCTTTTTTCTTTTTTTTTTTATTTCCCTTACTCTTTCACACTCTCTCTCTTCCTCGTAATATAAAAAATATAAAAAAAAAAAAAAACAAAGAAATATTTTGGACAGTGTCGCTAATTTGAGCTAGCCTGTTAGCAAGTTGATTAGGTTCATTAGCGTTATAACGTACCTTTGCACATACGGCAACATTGGTTTTCTTGAACTTCCAATGGGGTATAGCAACCATCGATATTCGGACATTGTTGTTTCTGACACTCCACGAATCCGTTCTAAAAAATAATAAACAGAATGAAAAAGGGAATTATGAGGACAACGAGAAAATCTTTAGGTTTACAAATTAGTGTCCAATACGAGCAGATAACAAACAGTGTTCATAAAAAAAAAGGAAGAAGATAATAATAATAATAAACGAAACAATTATTAATTTATTAATAGAGAACGATAGAAAATAACGTTTAACCATTACTTTTGCAGCTAAAAATTATATTGGAATTTTGTGTTTCTACTCTTTTTAGATTTTTCTTATTTTTCTTATTTATTTATTTGTTTTTTTTAAAGGAAAAAGTAAAAAATATGAACGAAGAAACGCAGAGATGGTCGAGTCAATGAACGAAAGGAGGAGATAAAGTAGGAGAACAACTCGTTGTTGGCGTCTGCGTTGAGTCTCGCACGAGAAATCTCTCTCTCTCTCTCTCTCTCTTTCTTTTTCTCTTTTTCTCTTCTCGTGAGAGTTCTCCACCATCGTAAGATCGAGAGCATAAAATATCTATCGTCGGACCGGGTGGTCCAAGTGGAAATTCTTTTGCTCTGACCTACCGAACCAGGCCAACTCTTCTTTAACCTCTTTTAAAACGTAAGCCCGTTAATACGTAAACGTCGCATGAGCGAATTCACGCGAAGAAAACACTCCTTCGAATTATTTTATTATGTTTACGTTCGCGTTAAATAAAGATGGAAAAAATAATAATAATAATAATAATGACAGTAACGTAAAATAACGGATGAGTAAAAAAAGAAACCCGTTTTATAGTGTTTAGTTTAGTTTAGTTTAATTTAATTTAATTTAGTTTAGTTTAGTTTTGCTATAAGAGAAAAGAGAAAGAGAAAAAGATAACAACGTAATCTGCGAATTGGACTATGAAAACGGGCTACGTGCTTTAACGAGACGTCTTCTTATCCGTCTCGTCGTCGTCATGAAACTGTTAAATGCTGATATTAGACCACTACCAACCAACCAACCAATCAACCATGTGTGGGGGAGGATTTATCTCTTTTAAAATAGAAAAAAAAAAAGAAAAAGGAAAAGAAAAACGATAGCAAAATTTATTTTATCGTTAAAACGATCGATCGAACGATCTTGAAAATCTAATTAAAGTTTACGTTAACCCCACTATGGGTAATTAAAATCACGTCGCTTAAAACGAATTAAAATGAAGAAATATAAAAAGAAAAAAAAAAAAAAAAGAGACAAAGAATGTCATAAAAATTCAAGAACCACCGAGGCGAGTGCATTAATAAAATTACAATTCCTAATGCGATTAACGATTCAATGACATTCTATTTTTTTCTTGCGGCTATTTTTCTTTTTCTTTTTTTTAACAACAGACAGACTTTGAAAACTTAAGTATCGGATTGGCTAATAACGTCGTGAGCTTTTTTTTGCTTGTTCATAATCGTGAAAAATAATGGTATTAGTTTTTTTTCTTTTTCTTTTTAATTCCAAAACGTTCAATATCTTGTATTCGTGTAAAATAACACGCACAGTGGAATATATTTTTTACCGACGTATACCTTTTCTTTTTTTTTTTTTAAGAATATTCGATAGAATATTTTTTTTAATATTAATCAATGTACTAACCTTACAAATGCAACTGAAACACCTGGTATTTGGGATTTTGTCGACGGTGAAATCTTCCCCTTCGATGTCACACGTCTCCCTACTTCCTGCGTGAAAAGAAATCGATCGATACGTTATAAATCGTTGAAAATTATGAGTAAAAGTAATAGAACGAGAAAGAGGACGAGGAAGGAAGGAAGGAAGTTAATATTATGAACGTAGTAATCAATTTGCCGTAAGGATCCTTGCGACATCAATAAATAATTGTGCACGATACAAAGCATTCCTATGAGATCGACCTTCGCATTCTGGAGTCTTCTTTCGTTCGATTTCTTCCGTACCAACGCGTCTCGTACGTGCTTCGTACATATACATATATAAGTGAATAAGTACATACTATACGTTAGACGATTTTCTAATCGATTGACAAGCAATTTTGTACGTCGATCACGATATCGACGATAAAAAAGAAAAAAAATAATCAATTCGAATAGAAGAACGATATCACAATAAATCAATAGATTGCATTTCCTCTAAGTATTTAATATTCTATTTTTATCAATTATACGAGAATATCGTGCGATATTAGAAAATTTTAATAGAATTCGATTATATGTTTTCCCTAAATATCGAAGAGGAAAAAAATTGTCACGCGTGATTTAACTTTTAAATTTGCCGCCCCGACGACTACGCATCGATATATCGAAAATGGCCGCCCACGCGGGGCGCCATCTTTTCAAATTTCAAACGCCCGCCGTTAGCGTCATATTTTTTCCAATGAAATTGTCTATTTATTATATATCTCGTTTATTTAATAATATCAATTAATAACAATTAATATTTAGATCTATATTTGATTTTTGAATTTAAATAAAAATTCTTGCGGTTAATGTTATTTAAAAAAAAAAAAAAAACAAAGTTCGAAGGAATGCGTGCGAGAAAGGACGCAGCGTTGGCGTTCCGCGACCGTTTTCTTAACATTCTCTTTCACTTCTACCTGACACCTAGTGTCTCCATCTTTTTCTTTTTTTTTTATAATTCTATCTCTTTTCTCTTCTACGATTTTATTAATCATTAAATAAAAATATATAAACGTTCTATTCATTTTTCCTTTTTTTTTTGGTCGCGTCTTGTAGAAGAAAAAATAATTCCCGTGTAAAATTTCTAAAAAAAAAAAAAAAAGTTCTTTTATTTCGCCAAATAAAAACGTACGACACGACGTTAAATGCAAAAAACGTTTGAATGATGATACGTGCAAATGAAATACGAATAAAAAGAATTTCTCACGATTAGTTGAATCTACAAAAGAGACGCGATACGTACGTTCGGTTGTTCCGCGTTTACACAACGCTTCGAAGATTTCTCAGGAAGCTTCTGTTGAACGCATACAGAATTTCTCTCTCTCTCTCTCTCTCTCTCTTTCTCTATTTCTCTTTCTCTCTAGAAATAGTCTCTCGTGTATGAGGTTAACGTCGTAAATCGAAGTTTACGCGGGATACAAGCACGGAGACCAACTTTGTCGTTGGCTTTTGCCATTTCCCGTGCACCGTTCGCGGAACCGCCGGTTAACCGGCCATAAAGTTACTTTTACTTTCGCGTCAGTGGAAGAAGAAGAAGAAGAAGAAGACACGAATACCGATTTGTGTTGGTGGTCTTTACGATTCTTGAAATAAAGAAATAAAGAAAGAGAGAGAGAGAGATAAATTCAAAAGATTCGTCATGGGTATCGCGAATTCATCGAAACAAAGCGCCCCAGATGAGTTTTCTTTCCCTTACTCTCTCTCTCTCTCCCTTTCTTTCTTTCTTTCTGTATCATTTTCTTTTTCGAATCATCGTCGGACCATGATTCGACTCGACTTGGCGCAAATAGACCGAGAGATAATGGAGATAGTCCAAGAATAGAACGTTTAAAAGTCACAAATGGAGCGTGACGCGCCTGAACTACGCTAGGACGCGAGATCTATGAGAAAAAGATAGAGAAACAGGGAGGCAGGCAGGCAGGCAGGCAGACAGACAGACAGACAAAAAGAGAAAAAGATATCAAGAATGAAGGAGTGAGATAGATAGATAGAAAGAGAGAGAAAAAGGGAGACTATTCGAATGCACTTTTCAATTTAAAATTCAACAGATGCATAATATATTCTAAGCTCATCTCCATTTCGCACCTTTGATAGTTTCCGATGCGCTATCGCAACGACGTGCCGTTGATAGGAAGGCCAGGGCCAAAGCCAACGCCAATGGTGCCGATGAGGTCACTGATACCAACTCCATTTTCCTTATTTTTCTTTTTTTTCTTGTTTTTTTTTTTTTTTATATAAGACAGGTAAGTAAATGCTTTTTCTAATCGTTCACTTCTTGTTTTGTTTTTTTCGTCGGAAAATTTGCTTAAATCTTCCTTCAATTGCTTTTTTCTTTATCTTATATCGTTGGTTCAGGATCGAAGAAGGTTCAGGATAATTTCTGAAAATGAAAAACAAAATTCGTGGCGTTAGTAAAATTTTTGGATCGATTGGAAAGAAATTAAAAAAAAAAAGAAACACGAAGAGAAGGATAAGGAATGATATCTTGTGAACCTGAAAATCAAATATAAATAAAACAATTCAAAAAGGGAAGAAGAGAAGAGAAAAAGGTAAGATTAGAATGAGAAAAAGATTTGGTTTCTGCGATACGTGTTTTTCACGTATGTCGATTTTATGCGATGATCAGATTTAAACACTTTTATTGCATGTTATTACGTTTCTTAAAATATACATCGGTATATATATATATATATATTAGTGCATTCTTTCAAAGATTTTTTGAGAAATGTGATGTGTGCGGTTTATTTTTTAATATATTTTTACACTCTCGAAAAATAGCAGTACAACGTGGTGCTTCCCTATTGCATATCTTTAATGTCAAAGGATTGTAAAGAAAAATATAAATAGCCGAATGCCATTGATATTTTTATCGAATTCTAAGGAATGACACACACGGTGTGTTGCCAAAGAGTGGAAATCTTTCAAATTTATGATAGAATTTCTTGAAAAATCCATACGATATATGTATGTGTGTGTGGTTAATCGTTTGCGCAAATTCAATCTAACGAAAGTAAAATAAAAGAAAAGAGAAAGAAAAAAGTTAATACAAATATTTCCATGTACAATAATATCTTCCTGTAAACATATTAAAAAGAAAAAAGAAGAGAAAGAAAAGGCTGAAAAAAAAGAAAAAAAAAACAAGAAAAATTATAATAAAAATGTCGAGGAAGGAAAGAAGGAAAAAAAAAGGGAGAGAGAGAGAGAGAGAGACGTTCACAAATCTCGAAGTAAAATCAGAGTCACGTTAGATCTACGTGTCGAATACCAAAGAGGAGGATTCATTTAAATGTTCCTCCATGATCGTTCTCCGTTGCAGGTGTTTTGGCGCGAGAGTGCACGTGCACACTCGAGAAGAAGAAGAAGAAGAAGAAGAATAAGAAGAATAAGAAGAAGCAGAGACCCTTTCGCGCAAGCCCTTCTTCTTCTCTTTGAGTGCGGCTCAAGTTATTTATCTTTTTATTTTATTGTTCCTTTTTTTTTTTGTTTTTTTTTGTTTTCTATAACATAAGAAAAATATCCAATGTTACTTTATTCTAACTCGCGTATCTATATACACAAACAGAAACACATACACACACATAGAAATATATGAAAATACAGGTATGTATACAACAAACAAGTGTACGTTCGTATATTATGCGTAAACGTAGACATACGTTCAATTTTAAGAGTGTACTTTAATTTAATATAAGTTTCATGAAAATCTATTCACTTTTAGTATAAAAAATATTG